TTTCAATAATTGGTTGATGACATTTTGGTGCTTCTGGAGCTAGATTTAGCTCTATTTTTCTATTTAGCTCCGAAAATCCTAAAACCTTAGCTCTTTTATTAGCTATTTTCATATTTATGTAGCACTTTTTTAGCTCCAGAAAGTTTTAGTTGTATTTGGTATATATAAGCCATAACTTAAGCGTTGATAAAATGAATAATTTCGAGATGCAGTGTGTCCACCATAAGCTCTTGGATCTAGGTTAAAGAATTCAAAAATTAATTAAAACAAAATCCTTTTTATGATAGCGCGGATTTTGTTTTAGCTTACTACTTTTACCTTAGAGGAGAGCTGGAAGTAAAAGTTTCAACAAAAATTTTGCTTAAAAATTATTTAAGAGCGTGTGTGAATCGATAAAAAAGTTCCCGCCGAATAAATTTTTAACAACTATGAGGTGAATAAAATTTCAGTAGCTCATGAGGCTAGTGAAATTTTTAACAAATGCATAGAAAATTTTGACAATCGCAAAGATTGTTGATGTGTGTAATTTTTCGTAAAATAAAAGCTTAAATTGATGAATTGCAATCAACGACGGTAGATGTGTTCTTAAAATATTAATTTCACTGCAATTTGTAATATTTTATTCCGCATAAATCTGTGGTTATCAAAAATGTACTGCTATCAAAAAATATTTAATTTCACACAGCAGATTGGCAAAACTGTCTCACCATAGTAAAAATATTATTCAGCAGCTCTGCCCATAGAACTTTGTTACCGATTCACACACACCCTAATTCAAATATCTGAAATTACAGACTTTAACAATTTGTAAAGTATTTTTAGTTCGATGTTATAAGTGCCATAGCAGCGAAATCGAAATATATGCACCTTATTTTGGTTTTAAACGATTTTTTCAGCACTTAATCTTATAAAATTCGTTGTTTTTATGTTATGTAAAAACAACGTTACGTCAATAAATGCTCAACCTTAACAAAAATATGTAGCTCTTCATTTTAGCTACTATTAGTATTATTTAGCTTTTTTCGACCGTTTTAGCTTCAAACGAAATTTCTCTGGCAACACTGCGTAAATCATTCAAAATGCTTAACATTCATTAAATATACGAAAAGTTATTTCTCGCTCAGCTCTGTTACTCCGCCGCTCTTATGTTCCACAGCAGTGTGGGCTGGTGTGGTGTGTACGCAATCAGATTTTGATAACTTTTGACAATTTACACTCTGATTCGTAATTGCTGCTTCTCTGTATTTAACGTTCTCTGCTAACTATCGATTGTAATAACAAAAACGAATCGTACTAAAAAACAATTTCATCACCTTGATCGCCCTGTCCAAATATGGCACCACTTATTTTGTGTTTTGTTTTGTTTAGTGAAAAATGCAACTGTCAAAAGAAAGGCAATCGCTGAAAGTTCTTCCGTAATCGAATAAGTTCATAGGTGTGGAAATTTATATACTTTTTTGTTTTGCGAAAACTAAAATATGTATATTTGTGAAATTTTTCAAGTCAAGTTAGAACAAAAATCGCATATGTGACTGCTAATAAAGCATAAGAATCAAGGGATTACTCTAAATTGACAAAGGAGTCAACAAAGGACTGAAGACTAAGCCGCAAGAAGGTAGGGTGGAGCGGATTTTAGACAAACCATCGTCTCGAAACGGAGATCTTTATACTCAAGGGAGTCGTAAAGTAAAATTAAAAGTATTAAAAAAATATGCTTAGTCATGAACAATATATGTACATACTTAAGTATGTAAAAGGTTACAAAGTAAAAATATAAGTTCCTGATATTAACGAAAAGCAGTGTAGCTGGCGTGGCTGCTGACGAAGTAAGCTAACTACCTACCCAAGACCTTTGCGCAGGATATTTTGAAAGTTGATTTGTACTTTGTCAAACAACTTTTAATTATATATATTTTGTATGAAATCATCAAATATTTAGCATGATCAAAGCTTGAAACAAAATGTGACATTTGTTAATGAATCACGTCATTTCATTTAACACATCAATTTGATTGCAAACATTTCACATACGTTCCGTAATAAACACTTAACGCTCTCTCTACCCCACCCGTCCATTCACAACCATAATGCATAGATAACATAGTCAAAGCAATTTTGCAATTAATTTGATTTTGCAGTTTATTTTTAGCTTCAGTATAAACGGCCTCCATTAAGGATTAGTACGACACCCGAAGCAGTGAATCGAAATAAAAAAGAAATAAATATTCTACTACAAAAGTTCTATCTTAACAACATAGACAGTTCTCATACATATAGACTACGCATTAAAACCAGCCAACGGCATCAGCAAAATGCAGGACTCACCCGATGCGAAGAAGCCTTGTAAGGGTATATTGAAGAATTCTAGCAGTTTTGATAAGCCCGGCGCCGCCAGGTGAGTAAATGTCAATGACAACGTCATTATCCAATCAGATAATCCTATTAATTTGTAATACACTCTAATACGCCTTTTGCATTTCATTCTCTTTGCTTCTTTTTCACTGCAGTTACCGCAAAAGTGCGAAATTTGATGAATTGAATGTGTTGCAAACCTACCATCCACTTGATAAGGATTATGGTCAT